GAAACAGTAAAACAGGAGGTACCAACTCCTGATAACAAAACCTGTGGCTGATTTGTTGTACTCAATGCAGTTGTGTGCTCACGCACCACTTCCTACCGCCCTTTGCTGACACTCGCCCAGGTCGCTCTCCTTTGTCAGTGCTCGTGCGCCCAACTTGTCTCCAATACTCCGAGAATTCCTGAAAACACAGAAAATACCACGACCCAAAAATCAGCAGGAGCTATGACCGCTACCACTGGTATAGCCCCAACAATATAGAATGTACCAAGAACGGAGAAGAAGACAAAAAAATATTGAAAAAAATGATGACGTGAAGCAAGACAGAACAAGTGCCCTTCTCAACTGAAAATTCAACTATATAGAGTCTTGATAGACCAACTCAAATCAAATCTTCGGGTCCCTAAAAACCTTTGGGTTAGCTAAAAACAATATTGAAGGAAAATACAAAGTATGAAATTAAAACCAAAAAGTATGAAATTATTGCTAAATATCAGAAAGTGGGTTAAAATAGAAGAAAAAATAACCAAAAGGACGAATACAGAAAAATGGAGATCAGGCAGAAACTTACCAAAATAAGTTTAATATTCAAAATGGATCAATGCCTTTATATTTCTACTATCATCGAAAGAGACAAAGGAAGATCAGGAATGGGTACCACTTTGTATAATTTAATATTTGAAATTTACAAATCTCGGTGATAGAGAAAGTGTAAAGAAAGAACCCGTACAAACAGAGTGAGAATGCGAAACTCTGAAAAGTATGTCAGAGAGACGCCGGAAGTTGGAGAACACGCGCGGCGGAGAGCGACAGTGGGGTTTAACAAAGAGAGGCAGTGAAAAACAGGTTGAAGATACTAGATTTAGATCTAGATCAATAAAAGATGCAGAAATATAACATCACCAATTAAAACTTTTAGATCAAATTAAAGGCCTCTGTATAAAATTCTATATATATAAAAATTATATATTCATATGTTAGTTGGTGCGATTTTTCGACCCTGGTAGCATATTACGGTTAATTATAAAAAGGAAGATTCAAATATGGAGCTGATCATGTTTGCAAATTAAAGAAGTCACTCTATGGACTCAAGCAAGCCTCTAGGCAATGGTATGCCAAGCTCACTGCTGCTTTGAGTTTTAAAGGATTCTCTCATTCACTCAATGACTACTCTCTATTTTCTAAGAAAATACCCAAGGGAGTTTGTATTCTTGCAGTCTATGTCGATGACATTCTTTTAGCAGGAGATGACTTTACAGAAATGACATTACTAACTTTCCTTTATTTAGAGTTCAAGATTAAAGATCTTGGACATGCTCATTTTTTTCTAGGTATGAAAATTATCAGAGAATCACAAGGTTTGATTGTTACACAGAGAAAGTTTACCTTTGAACTTTTGTCTGATTTTGATTATTTTGACAAAAGACCTGTGGCTTCCCCGCTTGAACCTTCCACAAAATTGCGCGCTGATGTTGGTGATTTGTTACCGGATCCCACGATTTATAGAAGACTACTAGGGAAATTAAATTTTTTGACTCATACACGCCCATATTTGTCCTTTGCCGTGCAGCATTTAAGCCAATATATGCCGACTCCTCGACAACCTCATCTTAATACAGAACTTCATTGTCTCCGGTATCTATTATCCAATCCGGGTCTTGGTTTGTTTTTTCGGACAGACTCCTCTTTCAAGCTTTCAGCTTTTTGTGATTCAGATTGGGGTTCTTGTCTGGAAACTCGTCACTCCATTTGTGGATATTTCATCAGTCTTGGTGGTTCTCATGTGTCTTGGAAATCCAAGAAACAACCTATCATTTCCCTTTCGTCCACTGAAGCTGAATACCGCTCTATGTGTCGCGTGATTGCTGAAATCACATGGCTTGTTCGACTACTTTCCGATCTCACTGTTTCTCCTTTGCTCCCGGTACCTCTTCACTCCGACAGTCAGACGGCCATCCATATCGCCAAGAGCCCGGTGTTGCACGAAAGAACCAAGCATGTAGAGCTTGATTGCCATTTTGTTCGCCAACAATTTCTCGCCGGACTAATTTCCCTCAACTTTGTTCCTTCTGCTTCTCAAATAGCTGATGTCTTTACTAAACCCTTGGCTGGTTTTCATCATCAACAACTCATCGACAAGTTGGGGTTGTTTCTCACCCCTCCAACTTCGNGTCTTAGCCTATTAATTTTAGGTTAGTTGGTTGTAAATTAAAATATGGACTATAAAATTAAAAAGTAGGGAGCCCAATTGTTGTTATGTGAAATTTTCCCTTTTGGAAAAGGACAATGGATAAGGACAATCATCAACAACGAGACCATAGTCGGATTAGGCTTTTGCTTCTTGTTGGACACCAAAAGATTTGGGCTTCTACCTGATGCTAGCGATGGCGTAGTCCAATTCCTTATTTATTGGGATGGTAGCCCACTTATTCATGGGCTAAAAGAGAGAAAGAGTTGTTTTGGTTGAATCTCATTGGCTTCATTGTAAATTCCTCAAATTACAAGAAACTTTAGATTTTGACTAGTTAGATGAATTTGAATTCTTTTGTATCTCGTGAAAGTTGTTCAATGTTAAGGAGGAGTTTCTTTTCTTTCTTTTCATGGAATGTTAAGGAGGAGTTGGTGCAGGGCGGAGCTACAGTAGAGTGTGTGGATTTGGGTGACCGACTTTTTTACTGACCTTGTATTTGTATTGAAAATTTACGGTTTACAGATATAGATAAAATATGCCAAACCCACTAATAAAAGGGGTTTGGGTTCACTGACAAATGTTTTGGGTTCTACGGAAAATGCCTGGGTTCTAATCCCCTTGAAAGCATCACCTTTTTCTATTACTATTTCTTTTTAAAAAAAACCTAACTAACTAAGAAATAAAACAACATTTTTCTGTTACTTTTTCTTTAAAAAAAAAACTAACTAATCTATCTATATAGAATAGGAGAAGCAAATACACTACATTAAGGCAAGTGTCTTAACAACAAAAAGCCAAGTGGCATTGTTAAGACAAAATAAATTACTTTTTTAACTAACTTTTTTTTGAATTTTAAATTTTGAATTAATTGGTTACACTACTTTAATTAATAAATATAGATATCTTATAATTATGATAAAAAACGAAAATACAAAAAAAAAATATTCTACTCATAATTCAAATTGGAGTTTTAAAATTATTTTACAATAAAAAAATAAAAAACTACCAATTCAAATTGGAGAGTAATTTCTTTCTAATATAGTAGTAGTGTGTGTGTGTNAATACAAAAATATAAAGAAACTATTAGGGTATTATACATAAGATAATTTATTATATATAAAACACATTTTATTAATTAGTAAAAATATTAGTACATTTTTTTATAAAAATAATAAAATGCTTATCAATAATTTTAAACAGTATAACATAAATATAAATATATATATTTCCAGAATAAGAAAATATATACGTATGTTCTACTAGAAGAGAAGTAGTATCAAAATATTTAGTCAATTGATAAATTAATAAAAAAAATTACATTAATAAATGTATAGTACTAAGTACTTGCTAATTTAATAAATAATAAACAATTAATTTGTTTACTATAATGCTTTGTAACCTTTGATTTTTTATAGATTTTATTATATTTATGTACACTATATTAAATAATAAAATAATAATTAATATTTATTAAAATAATATGATATATTAGATCATAATTTTATAAGATTAATATTCCATCAAATTATCCGCGCATCGCGCGGATTCTAACACTAGTTAAGAAATAAAACAAACGAAATTCCAAAAGTCAAAAAGAAACATTGAAGTTCCAAACTCGTGTTTTTCTGTTACTTTATTTAAAAAAAAAACCTAACTAATCAAAAAATAAAAACTAGTTTTAGGTCATGGTCTTATCTTAAAATTTAGAATACATACACTTAAATTTTAGCTTCGGTTCTTAGTTGATGAGACCAATAGGTTTCAAGTTCGATATTCATCACGTTGTACGTTTATTCTCAACTTCGAAGATAGCATTCTCCCTATTAGTATGTTAGAGGGTGCTGTGTAAATATTTGGTGAAGAAAAGTTCATTTAAAATAGTATTACTAATGAATTTAACTCGAAACTAAAGGCATACTACTCACTAAGTAAGATAATTTGGTAGTGTAAAATTTCTTGACATTATATTGTATAAGTTGAAATTATTACTAAAAATAGTCTCAAACATTTCTACAGCAAAAAGATTGTTATACAAACTATAGCAAAGATAGAGTAATATTCATAATGTAAGCCTTAAGATCTATGGAAACACCTAACACGAGCTGATGCATGTTAAAGGTAGCCACAGAGAGAAACTTCTTCTTTAATTAAAATAAATGAATCCACATTTACTTTGTGGGAGCTCGGGGTGTACAAAAAACCGACAAACCGCACCAACCCGATAATTCGAGTCAAACCGAGAGAAAAAATTCGACTATGGTTTGATTTGATTTGGTTTGATGTTCGGAAAAAAAAAACACGACCATAATTGGTTTGGTTTGGTTTGGTTTTAACTAAAGAAAGTCAAACCGAAATCAAACCAACCCGACATTACATATATAAAATTTTTAAATATATTTATTATATAAATATACTTATTGTGATGTAATTTATAAATATTTCTTAAACTTTTTCATAATTTTATTTTTTATGATATCATTTCAAAGCTTGGATTTAGAACTTTTGAATGTTCCAATAAGTTTTATAGCCATTAATATTAGTAACTTAAATAATGCTAACAAAAGCTCAAACCAAAACCAAATCAATACTAATGCTAACAAAAGACATTCAATTCAATACAACGAACAACAATGTAGTGAATATCTATTTTTTATTTTGCAATAATGTAGATAAAAATGCATAATCTATTTTTGTTTTTTTTTTAGCGTTTAGTCATGTAATTAATACTCCCTTATTAGTCTACTTATTTTAGCATGGTGTAGTACTTTTAAATTATGTTTATTTTTATTATGGCTTTCTAATTAGCAATATTTATATTAAATAATTTTATTGTCTTTATTGTTGAATATTTTAGGATAATGCCATGACACATATCATATTTTGTATTATTTTCTTGGAAAATACCTTATATAGCTGTATCTTACTAGGATTAAAGAAATATTTTGAGCACAAGTTATATGTTTTGTGCTACGAAGATTTTACCCGAAAAAACCCGAATAACTCGAAAATCCGAAAAAAATCGAGATTGAAAAACCCGAGTTTTATTGATTTGGTTTGGTGTAACGACCCAACCGGTCGTTTTGAGCATTTGTACTTCGCTCGTATCTTTGAGAGCATGGGTAGCTCCGTATGATGTATTATGGCTTATGTGAATCGTCAGATTTAGTTTTCAGGTTATTCAGAATTGATTTGAAAGAATAATTCTTAGCTTGAAGCTTTAAATTTGAAAGGTTTGATCAAGTTTCACTTTTCGGTATTTGACATCGGATTGGAATTTTGATGGTTCCTTTAGCTCCGTTGGGTAATTTTGGACTTAGGAGCACGTCCGAATCGTGATTTAGAGGTCCGTAGTAGAATTTGGCTTGAAATGGCAAAAGTTGAAATTTTGGAAAGTTTGACCGGGAGTGAACTTTTTGATATCGGGGTCGGATTTCGATTTCGGAAGTTGGAGCAGGTCTGTAATGTCAAATGTGACTTGTGTGCAAAATTTGAGGTCAATCAGACGTGATTTGATAGGTTTCAGCATCAGTTGTGGAAGTTTGAAGTTTCAAGTTTATCGAATTTAAATTGAAGTGTGATTCTTCATTTCGATGTAGTTAGGTGTGTTTTGAGGCCTCGAGTAGGGCCGTGTTATGTTATGGGACTTGTTGGTATGTTTGGACGTGGTCCCGAGGGGCTCGAGCGTATTTCAGATTGATTTCAGAGCATTTTGGCTAAGGTATATTACTGTTGGTTCGGGTGTGACTACACCTGCGGCTGGTTTGCGCAGGTGCGGTGGTCGCAGAAGCGACAGTGGAGCCGCAGAAGCGGCGAGTGGCGCAGAAACGAAGGTTGTTGGCACTCATGTGCATGCGCAGAAGCGGGGGATATCCGCAGATGCGGAAGGGCTAGTCTCCATGGGCTTCGCAGATACGGGACATCATCCGTAGCAGCGGAGGTCGCAGATGCGACATTTTAAGTGCAAATGCAAAATAGCTGGGGCAGAGTTATTAAAATTGAAGTTTTGGTTCTTTCTTCATATTTTGAGATATGGGACTTGGATTGAGGCGATTTTTGAAGCAAATTTCATCACAAGAATTGGGGTAAGTGTTCTCTACTCAGTTTTGATTACATTTCATGAATCTATCTTCATTTTTGACAATTGATTGATGAATTGTAAAGAGAAATTGGGAGTGTTGGCCTAAAGTTTCATGATATTAATTTTTGAGTTTTGAACATCGATTTGGAGACGAATTTGAGTGAATCTAGTATGGTTGGACTCGTACTTGAATGGATTGTCGGATTTTGTGAGTTTTTATGGGTTTCGAGGTACGGGTCCGGGTGTAATTTTTGGCTGGATTTGGGATTTGATTTAGGATTCGATCTTCATCATTTGGAATTGTTTACCTGGGCTTTATCTAATGTATTTGAGTTTCTTTTGACTAGTTTTGAGCCGTTCGAAGGTCACTACGTGTGAGATGGAATTCTTGGAGTATTGCTTAGCTTTCTCAGTATTTGAAATTGGCTGGTTGAGATAAGTAACTCTTCTAAACTTAGTGTTGAGGGTATGAAACCCCAAATTATGTGCTATGTGATTGGTGTTGAGGTAACGCACATGCTAGGTGACGACGCGTATGGGTGTGCACCCTGTGAATGGTGACTCTGTTGTCTTCATGGCACTGTATAGTGGCCCTACTTTGTGAATATCTGCATTTTCACCATGTTATAAAGTAATTGAGTTGTACATCATGCTAGATATCATGTTTAGGTTTTATACTAATATTGTTGGGACCCATTATGATCGTTTCTTGCTGTCACCTCATTGATTTCATTGCTATTCTGTACTCAGTCATATTCACGCATTCATATCATATCTTAGTCTCAGTTTCTACTTATTGATACATCATATCATTGTTCCGGATCAGTTTTCATAACATTGTGAGCTTGTGGGTGAGACTGGAGAGATTGATTACTGAGTGAGGCCGAGAGCCTGACTATGAGTGATAGTTATGGGATCGGGCTGCACGCCGCAAGGATTATTCTGATTTATGATAGAGCTTGATCTGAAGGAGCCCCTCCGGAGTCTGTATACACCCCCAGCGAGCGCGGTTGGTTATATTGAGGGATAGATCTTCCCTGGACTTGGAGATGGATCTTCTCCATGGAGCTGAATTGGCCTTTCCTCGATACTGACGACTAATAGTCAGTGATATATATATATACACTAATCATCAGCCACTAAGTACCGAGGAAGGCCAATTCGGCCCCATGGAGAAGATCCATCTCCAAGTATATATAAATGCTTAANCCTCGGTATTTAGTGGTTGATGATCAGTGATGTATATATTCCGTGATGGATCTTCCCTGGGCAGTATGAGCCATATACAGTATTGAGTGGTTGAGCATTTTTGAGTGGAGAGTGTGACTTCATGTTTCATCTCTGGGATACATGGCATTGGCATGCATACATGACATACATGCATAGAGATGCATTCTTCCTCATACTGTACGGTATCACGTCATTCATGATTGTTTTACACACATTGATATGTGGGCATAGAGAGGTATTTCACGCTTGCTATTTGGAAAGAAAATGAATCATCTTATTCATTGTGGGAAGGATTTTTGGATAAATTATAGTGTTCAAACTATCTCATATTTTTGACGATTTTGGTAAAGGATTTGGGTTTTCACTATTATTCTTGAAAAATGGAACTATTTTCAAAAAATTATGAAAAAGCTGAGCATTTTATTTCCGAGTTGCTTCCTTATTTATGTGCTCTACATTGTTATGAATTGTTGTTGGCTATTGGTGTTGGACCCGACCATGTTCCAGCTCGTCACTACTTTCAACCTAAGGTTAAGTTTGTTACTTATTGAGTACATGGAGTCGGTTGTACTCATACTACACTTCATGCACAAAGCATGAAGATTTCAGATGCCGATGTTGCTATGTTCGATGGGAGCTAGATTGAAAGATGTACCCGCGTCCCTGTTGTAGCTACCTCTTGTTCATGGTAGCCTTAGATTTTAAAACTCTGTTTATGTACTTTTCAAACAGAAGGTGTATTTAGTTCATATCAGCTTGTAAACTTTATTCTTAGAAGCTCATGATTTGTAATACCAGTCCTTGGGAAATGTATAAGATTCAGAGAATTTCTTTGTTTAATTGTCTTATTAATATTATTGGAGTTGGATAGTTATTAGTTGGCTTACCTAGCGGGTTGAGTTAGGTTCCATCACGACTAGTGGATTTTGGGTTGTGACAGATTGGTATCAGAGCTCTAGGTTCATATGTTCTACAAGTCATAAGCAATTGTCTAGTAGAGTCTTGCGGATCGGTATGATGACGTCCATACCTATCTTCGAGAGGCTATAGGGTATTTAGGATATACTTTCCATATTTCTTTCCTTATCATGCGACATTGATTCAGCTTGAAGCGTAGTCCTTTGAATTCCTTCCACACATTCGTATGCGCGCATAAACGCTTGGTATTAGCTGTGCATCGATGACTTATGTTTCCATGGATGAGGTGCGAGATGTGATTTCAGTATGTTGATGAAGGGCCAGTCTGGAGGACTTAAGGCCGGGTTTTGACTGTAGCTTGATCACAGAGATGTTGATTTTGTGAGCATGTGCTTTTGGACTTATATGTTCGGTAGTGTTCCTATTGGTGGAATTTGTGGTTGGACGGCCATGTAACAAGTATGATGTGACTGTGGGAAGTGTTTAGATGGTTTGAATGTGACGAAAAGAGTTTGATTGAGATGTAAATTGGTGCTTGATTTCTGTCTTGATTTGATGTATAATCTCGAGTTATGGGTGTGTTGAAGGACCATTCATGTTGTTTAATTGTGGAGTGAAGTAGATTTTTCATGACTTGTTGATGAGTTCAGAATCAGGAAGACTATGGAAGGGTATAAAAAGATGTCAGTTTGAGGCTAAGCATGTGGGTTATCTCCTGCGGGGTGTCCTGAGGTTGTGTGATTCCTATGTAGTGCTGTTGAAAGTCCTCTTTTACTAGTGAATTATATATAGTGAAATTTGGGTCTGGGATCGCTTATGAGAGTTGGATTGACTGTTACAAGGGTGAATACGAGATTTGCAGATGATTTGAAATAGTAGATAGTTTGTGTTGCGTGAACTTATGAAGGATTCAGTTGAATTTCACTACAGTATTATAGCAGCAATGGTGTATGGATATTGTAGGTTATCAGATGCTTTACTCCTTGGCTTTTAGCCAAGTGGTGAAATATAACTTGCGTTATGTAGTAAACCAGCAAGAAAACAACCACTATTATTTTTAGCCCCACGGTGGACGCCAAACTGTTTACCTTGAAAATGGTAATTACAATTAGATTTGGTTTTATGGTTCTAAAAATACGTAATTTATTTTTATGCTAGTTGTTAGGCAGTAGATGTTAAGTATGAGACTAGAAAATAAGATGGGGGTTTGAAGGTAGTATGTTAAGCAAACCGAGTGGCCGGGATTCAGGGCCTCGAGCTGGCCTATACGGGGCCTCGAGGTCGAGCTGAGTGCTAGGTTGTGACCGGCCGATGAAGGTCTAACAATTGTAAGAGCTTTGATAAGATCTCTCTATGATCAATAATGAGTGATAAATGAAGAATAATTAATGAAACACAATAAATGTAAGCAATAAATATAAGTAATAGAATCAAGGGAGAGTATGTTTAAGTTAGAGAGCAGAGAGTGTTCTTTGTATATTCAATGTGTTGTCTGTCTTACAAAATAATAATGATCCCCTTTATATATGAGGAAGAATCCCAACATAATACAAAATGCATTTATTTCAAAGATAGATGGCTGGTACAACCATTTAATTCCACGGTACGGGCTCATACTAGCCTAATAGATTTGGTCAGCCTAAATCACGTGCCTTGGGAACTTTCCGTTTTTCCATCATAACTACCGATCTATACAAACCCGAGGTCTAATGTTGATAACTCCTCGGGTTTAAAACTCGACCATTGTCTCGAGCCTTTGGAAACGTGCCTACGAAGCATCATAATGACCATAAAATCGGACATTCTGATTTTTAGCGCATACATTTGGCTTGAAATGGCAAAAGTTGAAATTTTGAAAGTTTGATCAGGAGTGAAATTTTGAAAATATGGGTTGGATTTCGATTGTGGAAGTTGGAGAAGGTCTGTAATATCAAATGTGACTTGTGTGCAAAATTTGATGTCAATCGGACGTGATTTGATAGGATTCGACATCGGTTGTGGAAGTTTGAAGTTTCAAGTTCATCGATTTTGAATTGAGGTGTTATTCGTCGTTTCGATATTTTTAGGTGTTTTTTGAGGCCTCGATTAAGACCGTATTATGTTATGGGACTTGTTGGTATGTTTGGACGTGGTCCCGAGGGGCTTGGGCATGTTTCGGATTGATTTCGGAGCATTTCGGCTAAGGTTTATTACTGCTGGTTCTGGTGTGACCACACTTGTGGCTGGTTTGTGCAGGTGCGGTGGTCGCAAAAGCGACAGTAGAGCCGCAGAAGTGGTGAGTGGCGTAGAAGCAAATGTTATTGGCGCTCCTATGCGTGCGCAAAAGCAAGGGAGATCCAAGATGCGGAAGGGCTAGTCTCCATGGGCTTCGCAGATGCGGGACATCATTCGTAGAAGCGGAGGCCGCAGATGCGACATTTTAACCGCAAATGCAAAATAGTTGGGCAGATTATAAAAATCAAGGTTTTGGTTCTTTCTTCATATTTTGAGATGTGGGACTCGTATTGAGGCGATTTTTGAAGCAAATTTTATCACAAGGATTGGGGTAAGGGTTCTCTACTCAATTTTGATTATATTTCATGAATCTATCTTCATTTTTGGCAATTGGTTGATGAATTTTAAAGAGATATTGGGAGTTTTGGCCTAAAGTTTCATAATATGAGTTTTTGAGTTTTGAACACCGGTTTAGAGTTGTATTTGAGTGAAACTAATACGGTTGGACTCGTAATTGAATGGGTTGTCAGATTTTGTGAGTTTTGTCGGGTTTCGAGGTGCAGGCCCGGGTGTGATTTTTGGCCGGATTTGGGATTTTATTTAGAGTTCGATATTTATCATTTAGAATTGTTTACTTAGGCTTTATCTGATGTATTTGAGTTACTTTTGACTAGTTTTGAGCCGTTCGGAGGTCTCTACGTGTGAGATGGCATTCTTGGAGCATCGCTTAGCTTGCTCGATATTTGGAATTGGCTTGTTTAAGATAAGTAACTCTTCTAAACTTAGTGCTGAGGGTATGAAACCCCGAATTATGTGCTATGTGATTGGTGTTGAGGTGACGTGCGTGTGGGCGTGCACCCTGTGAATAGTGACTCCATTGTCTTCATGGTACTGTATAATGGCCCTACTTTGTTGATATCTGCATTTTCACCATGTTATAAAGTAATTGAGCTGTACATCATGCTAGATATCATGTTTAGGCTCTATACTGATATTGTTGGGACCCATAGTGATCATTTTTTGCTGTCATCTCATTGATTTTATTAATATTCCGTACTCGGTCATATTCACACATTCATATCATATCTCAGTCTCCGTTTCTACTTATTGATACATCATATCATTATTCCGGGCGAGTTTTCATGATATTGTGAGCCCGTGGGTGAGACTGGCGAGATTTATGACTGAGTGAGGCCGAAAGCCTGATTATGAGTGATAGTTATGGGATTGGGCTGCACGTCGCAGCGGTTATTCTGATTTATGATAGCGCTTGGCCTGAAGGAGACCTTCAGGGGTCTGTACACAACCCCAATAAGCGCGGTTGATTATATTAAGGGATGGATCTTTCCTGGACTTGGAGATGGATCTTGTCCATGTGGCTGGATTGGCCTTTGATCGATACTAACGACTGATAGTCAGTGATATATATATATTCTAGAATGGATATTTCCTGGGCCGTATGAGCTATATACAGTTCCTAGTGGTTGAGAATTTATATATACCTAGAGATGGATATTCTCTATGGGGCCGGATTGGCTTTCATCAGTACTGAGTGACTGATGATTAATAGTGTATATATTCCGGGATAAATCTTTCCTGGGCCGTATGAGCCATATACAGTACCGAGTAGTTGAACATTTTTGAGAGGAGAGTGTGAGTTCATGTTTTATCTCTGGAATATATGGCATAGGCATGCATACATAACATACATGCATAGATATGCATTCTTCCTCATACTGTACGGTATCACATCGTTCATGATTTCTTTTACACACATTGATATGTGGGCATAGAGAGGTATTTCACGCTTTCCATTTGGAAAGAAAATAAAACATCTTATTGATTGTGGGAAGGATTTTTGAAAAAATTATAGTTTTCAAACTATCTCATATTTTTCGACAATTTCGATAAAGGATTTGGGTTTTCAGCGGAACTTTTTTCGAAAAATTGTGAAGAAGCTGAGCATTTTATTTCTGAGTTGCTTCCTTATTTATGTGCTCTACATTGTTATAAATTGTTGTTGGCTATTGGTGTTGGTCCGACCATGTTCCAGTTTGTCACTACTTTCAACCTAAGGTTAGGTTTATTATTTATTGATTACACGGGGTCAGTTGTACTAATTTTGGATGCCGATTGTAAACACTGAAACTTTAGCAGATCAAGATAAATCCTAAATTCAAGATGACTCTTGAAATATTAGGAGTCTATTAGGGTTACTTGGTGGCTAATCCACCCAAACCCTAATTTATGCCTATAAATAAGACTACATATGTCCTTCAAAGACAATCTCAACAATTCCATAAACTCTCGGAATATGCACAAAGAGATCAAATATAAGATCTCCAAAATTCCATGAAACTCTTGGAATATTCATTAAGAGATCAAAGACATGTCAAATATGTCTTGCTTAAAATCCTACGTTTGAGAAATACGCTGCTAAGGCCCTCGAATCACGTAGAATAAATCTGAGGGAAGAATCAAGGGATAAATAGAGTTGTAACCTGTAATGTTTATCAATAAAATCCTTTTTTTCTTCATAGTTGTTTGTGATTGCAGTTTTATTTTTCTCTGCATAAATTTGTTGCAAACAAAATTGGCACGCCTAGTGGGATCAGTTCTGCCCTTCATCTCTTCCTCCTGCAAATCGAAAACTACAAGTTTCAAGATTATCTGTTATGATGGTCGGGTACTTCAAGTCTTGTCTTTAAGTTTCAGCAAGCCTACACCTCGACAAACCTTGAAGTAGGGGGCATTTGTAAACACTGAAACTTTAGCAGATCAAGATAAATCCTAAATTCAAGACGACTCTTAAAATATTAAGAGTCTATTAGGGTTACTTGGTGGCTAATCCACCCAAACCCTAATTTATGCCTATAAATAAGGCTACATATGTCCTTCAAAGACAATCTTAGCAATTCCATAAACTCCTAGAATATGCACAAAGTGATCAAATATGAGATCTCCAAAATTCCATGAAACTCTTGGAATATTCATTAAGAGATCAAAGACATGTCAAATATGTCTTGCTTAAAATCCTATGTTTGAGAAATACGCCGCTAAGGCCCTCAAATCACGTAGACCTTTCTTGTGCTGAATGTATAATATCAGCGGCTTTCCAAGTATATGGGCTGCCAAAACTGGAGGCTTCACCAAGTAGGATTTAATGCTCTCAAAGACATTGCTACACGCTTGGTCCCATTTGAAAGGGACACCTTTCTTCATAAGGTGATTGAATGGTTGGCACCTCCTAGCTAGGTTTGAGATGAATCTTCTAAGATATGCTAGCTTTCCTTGCAGACTTTTCAATTCATGAATATTGTAGGGCTCGGGCATTTTCAAAATGGCGTCTTGACTTGATCAATTTTGATCCCTCGATGTCGAACAATGAAACCAAGGAACTTTCCGGAAGTAACTGCAAAGGCGCATTTCAATGGGTTCATCCTAAGTTGGTACCTCCGGAGCAACTCAAACACCATTCTCAAGTCTTTCAAGTGGTCGCCCTTCTCTCTTGATTTTACCACCAAGTCATCAACATAGCATTCGACATTTTTGTTGAGAAGATCGTCAAAAATATTTTGCATAGCCCTTTGGTAAGTAACACCCGCATTTTTCAAGCCAAAATGCATTACCTTGTAACAATAAATACCCTTGGGGGTACGGAATGCAGTAAGCTTTTTATCTTTTGGCGCCATGCGAATTTGGTTATAACCTAATGAACCATCCATAAATAACATTGCCTTGTACTCAGTAGTAGCATCGATCATCAGATCTGGAATGGAAAGCGGGAACTCATCTTTCAGACATGCATTGTTAAGATCCCTAAAGTCAACGCACACTCGAATCTATCCGTTTTTCTTCCTTACAGGGGACAATACTTGAAACCCATGTTGGGTATTTAACTTCACGAATAAAGCCAGTTTCGATGAGCTTGTTAACTTCGGTTTCAATCAAGGGAACCAAGTCCGGCCTAAAATTCCTTTGAGCTTGTTTAACAGGGCGAGCACCATTTTTGATTGCAAGGTGATGGACTGCTACTTTCGGGTCCAAGCTAGGCATCTCTTTGTAACTCCAAGTGAAGACGCCCCTAAACTCCTTGAGTAACTCAATATAAGTGCTCTTCATCAGCTTCTAGTAAAGCACTTAGGTAGGTGGGTTTTGGTTCTTCATCGGTGCCAAGGTTAACATTTTTTAAGGCATCAACTGTTGTCTTCACTCCTTCTTCAAGTTCAGGTGGAGCATCCTTCGCATCTTCATATTCTTGAGGGCCCCCATTGTTGAAGGATATGTGATAACATGGTGAAACATCCTCCAATTTTGCATTATCCTCCATTGAAGATGGATCGACATTCTCGACTTGTACAGTAACATGATACGAAGAACCCACACTTTCTTCATCTTCGTCACGTTCCTTAGTGTAGACCACATTATATGGCTTTACCTTCAGTACTTTTTTACATGAAACCACAAGTTTTGTTTGTCGCCTCATTCTAGAAGGAACCAAACTTTGGAAATCCTTAGAGATCTCCTGGATTTTGGGTGAAACGGGTGTCCTTATGCTTTGAAAATTTCTCCGAAACTTGTTCCCCTTCTTTAATGGACCCAATCTTTCAAATACAGAGGTCCTCACAGGTGATTTTCTAAGTCGATCAAAGACAGAAGGCTTGTTAGAAGTGAATGATTCATCTTCTACAGTGATATAATTGCTGCTCGCCCTTCTTATTGAGATGCACACTGGTGACAATTGCTTGTATCCCAAACCTTCATGTGGTTGCCTCATTGCAGCTTCTGATGGGATTTTCCGTAACTTTGATGGCTCATTGGGATTGTATCCAGCTTTTGCAAATAGCTTGTAAGCGTTAGGGTCAAAACCTTCATCTGTTCGCTTTATAGGGAGTGCCACATTATGCAAACGATTTTGGGCTACAAACCCTACAAGCAGCTTCGAGGACAACTTTACTGCCTCAATTCGTTTTACCGGAAGAGTTAACTCCTTTAGCGTGTTAGTTTGGAGATTAGATGATTCACCATCGTCTTTCTTCCTTTTAGGGACATATTGGAGCGCATGACTCACTTTCTTGCCATAAGACGCAATACCCCCTCTATGAGATTTATTCGCGTTGGGTTGTACCTCCCCGGTAACAT